GCGTTCCACACTCGTGTTCGTATGCATGTATGTATGTGTATGTATATCCCACATCCAGTGACACAGATGCGATTACACAAATTGAAGCGAACGCACACACACACATGTTTGCATACACACCTACATACATACATACATGCATACATACACATGCATACATGTGAACGGGCCGCCGGGGCGCGGACAATACACACCGCCCTCCCCCCGGGCGCCCCCCCCCTGCGCGGTCGCTTTCGCGGGAGACAGCGCCGTAACACTAAACACGCACACACACGGACGGGAAGTAGCAGCTCAGGACTACCCCTAGGCAGAATGAGATGCCATGACAGCAATAACAGCTTAGGAATGACAACAACAACAACGACAAGACGACGCCGTTACTGGCCACAAAGACGACGACGTGGGAAGCAACCCCTCCCGGCCCCCCCGGACGGGATGTAAAAAAATCACCGACACAAACGGCAGCATCCCACATTCACGTGCCTTTTCCCCTAACCCCCCCACCTCCTCCCCCCCCGCATCTTACCAACGGCATCCGCTCCAGACCACTAAACCACACATTCGTCCTCCAGCCCAACGACTTCCATCTCGAACCCCCATGTACTCGCTCTCCACTATCAACCTGCTCAACTACCGCAACCAACTAACTAATTAATGCTGACGTGTAACTGAACTAACTACATTCCCACTTCGCTTGTCTGCTTGTTTGGACCCTATATGCTTCTTTTCCAAAGCCAAAGCGAAAAGCCGGAACAGGTTCAGAAAAGCGCAGACAGCAAAGAGAAATAAAGACAGACAGACAGACAGACCGAAAAAGCGGGAGATGAAGAAGGGTTTAGGGTTGAGGCGCTTCTCCTCCACCTTCAAGCAAGAGTTGTCCTTAGGTTATCCATCCTCCCACTGCGCCATAAGCCTCCATCCCCTTCCATCGCGAAGGATGTGGCCCCACCCCACACCCCACACCTCCAAACTAACACAAACAAGGCCCCCCTTCACCCCTCCTTCTTCTTCTTCTTCTTCTTCCTGATTCAACCCCCCGAATCGCCTTCACGCTTCTCGACATCGTCATCACTCGCACAATTCTTATTCTCATCCCCCTTTCCCCCTCCCCATCATCACCTTATTATCAACACCATCATTAGCATCCTGAAGGTCAGAACTCGTCCGTCAGTACTCAGGACGAGGCCCCCCACCCCCTCCGCCCCCCGACGGAGGTCACATCATCGAAAGGGCCGCGGATGGACCTCCTCGAATGGCCCCCCGGACGGAGAGGCACGCGCGCGCCCCACCCCCAACCTCCGGGGCACTTTTCTACTTAGGTCGTTTGGTTTCCTTTGTTGTTCGCATGTTCGCGCTTGATTGCTTGACTGCCTGTTTGCTTGCCTGTTGCTTTTTCTCATTTTTAAAATTGGGGCACTTTCCCCTCCCCTCACCTGGTGCCTCGCCTCGTCTCTAGCAACATCCTTCTCTTCCTCCACACACACACATATACATAAACACATACATGCACACACATACATACACCCCCACTCGAACCAGAAGAACGCAGCTGCGACACGGGACACACCAATCAGACACCTCCGCCACTACCGCCCCCCACCCCCGGCGACAGCCTGATGGTGAGGAGTGGGGGATGGAGGGGATAAAGCCTCCAAAGCTACGCCAAGATCAATACCATAGATCAATATTTTACCCAAGGGGTATTGGGGGGGTTGACAACCCCAACCCCATCCCCATCCCCTGCACCCTCACCCTCACCCTCAACCACACCCCTTGTGCTGCATGAAAGCAGCTGCTGGTGAGGTATAATGGTAAGCAGCGACCCCGGAAAGCGCCACGGCCATTGCCCCCACCACCGCCATCGCCACGGCCATTGCCCTTCCATTATTCTTCGGAAAGGCTTTGAGGACCCCGCCGCGAGGTGGTAAACAGCGACCACCACCACCATCATTTTATACCATCAACATCCGCATAACTGTTAAGCAGTACCTATATGCTCAACACACACACACACACAACCCTAGTACTCATTTCCTTTTCTTGCCTCAAGTCCCTCGTGCCCCTCAGGGCCCGCAGGACGCCACGACGCCACCTGCCCCGCCCCGACGGCACCCTCCGCTGCCTCAACCTGCACCCGAACCCGCACCCTCAACGTTGAGTAACCCCCCAAAGCACCGCAACGGCCCGCCTTCCCCTTCCCCCTCCCCCGCGAACACACACTCTTTGCAATTTCTTAGGATTGCTGGTAGATGAGAGGGCGGCGGTAGATATGATGGCCATCGGAGACCGCCAGTCGACCGATCCACCACCGCCTTGCAGAGCACTTCTCTACAGGTCGGCAAGCCAGCCAGCCAGCCTCCTGCCGGGGACCTCCACACACCTAGACCGCCATAGGCGACGTACACATACATACATACATAAATACAATACGAACGTACATACATACATGCGTACATACGTAGTATCAGAAGAAGCCACATCCCAGGTCTAGCTTGGCAAACCGGTTCTCAATCTCCTTCCTGTCCTTCAACACCAAGGCCTCATGACCGGAGGAGGCGGCGGCGGCGGATAACGCCGACGACGACGATGAGGAGGCGGCGGCGGAGGCGGCGGCGGCAGATAACGCCGACATCGACGATGAGGAGGCGGAGGCGGCGGAGGAGGAGGCGGGAGCGGAAGAGGGACAGTCCCTGCCATCGCCATTTCCGTCGCCGCCGCCGTCGGCCGGTGGCGGACTTGACACTTGCAACAGGCCGCTCTGCAAATTGCCACCGTCGCCGCCGCCCTCAGCGGTGGTTGTAGCGGTTGTAGCGGTTGCTGCAGCTCCGATGACGCTCCCAGGGTGTAGCAGGAGCTGCTGCGGCTGACGTTGTCGGGAAGGCAACATCCGCAAGCAGGCCTCGTTACATTCGGATATCGCCGCCGCCGCCGCCGCGCCGCTGCCGCTGCCGCCACGCTTGCTCAACATCTCGGTAGAAGAAGCGCTGTACGACGACAGGGCTTGTGGCATGGAATGACGGAAGTTGTAGAGGTGCGGCTGCGCGCTCAGTCCGATCTCGTCCGCCATCACCTTCATATGGCCGCCGAATGGGGGCCACTGCTGCTCTCCGAACACGTCCGCCAGCCCTGCGGGGGGTGCAGAGGTGGTGCGACACCAGGGTGCGCGGGGGGGAGACACACGCACACACACACGCACACACATTTAATCACGTCGGAGGGCACCACACAGCGCTAGAGCGGCGGCATTACGGGGCGCGCAGAGCCGCACTCACCCGCGTCTATGTCTCTGTCGGCTTCCAACCCGCCCCCAACGCCTCCCGCCAGGGAGGACAGCTGCTGGACTGCTAAACTGAAGTCGCCACTCAAAGCGGACACGGGCACTTGAGTGCCCAGAAAGCCGTACTGGAGGGGTTTTAACTTGCCCATGTCGAACAGCCCGCCCAGAGCCGCCCCCAGGGCCTTGCGCGAGCGGGTGCGACCGCGCACACGCATCGGTCCGACCGCCGCCGCCACTACCGCTGCCGCCGCCGCCGCTGGTCGTACTCGCCCCATCCTCCGACGGCGCCATCGATAGAACACCGGTCCGCGAGGCCGATGCCGTGTTGATGTTGAAGGAGGAGACCGAGATAGAGTCGCGGCCGTTGCAGAGTTCCACAATCCGGACATCGGGCCCACCAGAATCACAAGCTGCCGCCGCCGCCGCCGCCGTCGCCGCCACCATCGCGGGTGGCGCGCAATCCGCCGCGGAGCCGGTGGGACTCCATACCGCCGCTGCCGTATCCGACGGCTGCTGCTGCTGCTGCTGGAGCTGCTGGAGCTGCCCGAGCTGCATCCCGGTGAGGGGCACGGCGACTAGTTGCTGCCCGTTCTTGCTAACCATACCTTGCTGCTGCTGCTGCTGGTGGTGGATCATCATCAGGTTTCGCTCCTCCTCTGCGAAGGCGTCCGCCAGCACCGCCACGTTCATGGCCGTCAGCGCCCCCAGCCAGCCCGACGTCACCGCCGTCTCCACGGTGATCCCGTGACGGGCCAGCTCCTGACCGATGGACACCAGGATGGCCTTCAGGCCACCCCGGGAACCGCCGCCACCGCCACCGCTACTCCCGACGCCGCCAAACGCAGACGCAGCCGCGGGGTCGCCCCCGCATGACGACATGCCCGCCGCCGCCGCCGCCGCCACGGCAGCAGCATCCTCCTCCGCCGCCGCCAGCAACAGGCTCCCGTCAGTCTCCAATAGCCGGCCAGAGCTGAGTCCTCCGCCGAAACCAACCCCAGTGTTGCCCTCGCCGCCGCCGCCGCCGCCACCGACACGGTGCGCACCAACGTCCCCCGGCTGCTGCATGGGGAAGCGTTCTCGTGTTATTGACATGACGCCCGGCATGCGCTGTTGTGGGTGCTGCTCGGCCAACATGGGGCCGAACCCCCCCCCCAGGTCCACCGCGCCGGGGCCCTCCACTGCCCCGGGGCGCAGGTGCTGCTGCTGGAGCGACTGCGGCTGCACGCCCCATGCTTGCAGCTGCGCCAGGGCCGATGGTGACGGGTCCAACGACAGTGCCGCTGTCGGCTCCGCAGCAACCCCTCCTCCCTGTCCGGAAACACGGCCCCTCGAGGACGTGTGCTGTTGCAGCTGCAGCATTTGAATAGTCTGTTGCTGCTGCTGCTGCTGCACCTGTTTGTGATTACTCAAGGTATATTGCTGCTGCGGTTGCTGTGCATGGTATCCCGGCGCTAGAAACACGTTCTGCTGCTGCTGCTTTTGCATGTTGGCAAGGCTGCTGTTGTTGTTGTTGTTGTTGTTGTTGTTGTTATTCGCCGTGAGCGCCCGCGCTTGAAATGTGTGGTTAGAGCCCGTCTGGGGAGGTGCGGCACCCAAGGGGGGGCCTTGTGGAGCTCCGCGCGCCGGACTGGGGCCTTCGGCGCTGCCGTTACTCACCTGGCTCGATGTCCTGATTAGGATCCGTGGGGGACCCACCCCGCTTACGGCAGCCGGCGCAGAGGCGGTTAGCTGAACTGCCTGCAAGCCGGCAAGGTGCTCGAATCCGCCGCTACCATCACCACCACCACCACCACCACCGCCGATGACGCCGGCGCCGGAGCGCGGGCCTTTACCCGGGGGGCCGAGGACTGTTAGTAGGCCCGATGAACCTGCCAACTGCGGTGCGGCCGAGGCATGCATCTTCGTCGACTGCAGCTGCAGCTGCTGTGACTGTTGTGGTTGCGGCTGCAGAGGCAGAGGTTGCAGCTGTTGGAGGTGAATCGGACCCCCGCCGAGAGCACCGACGGGAGCACCGCTCTGTCCTGCTTGCTGCTGCTGTTGCTGCTGCTGCAGCTGTTGTTGTTGTTGTTGCAGCCTAGCGGCCTGCCCGCGCGACGACACGGAGAGCATTCTCGCCAGGGTCGCTTGATCCATGACCGTGGTTGCCGTGGTACCGTCAGACAGGGTGATGTTCACCACCTGCTGGGGGGCCGGGGGCGGGGGGCCCTCAGCAGGCAGCGGCCTCTGTAACCGGTGACCGCCAGCAGCAACGGCGGCGGCGGCGGCGGCGACAACGTGGCATTGCTGCTGCTGCTGCTGCTGCTGTGGCGGCAGAGCCTGATGCTGGAGTTGCAGGGCGTTGCCGCCACTCGGCACAGCGGCACCCAGGTGGGTCGCAGGCGCCTGAAGTCCAGGGCCACCGCCCGACACGGGCACCGTTGTCTGGCGCTGCTGCTGCTGCTGCTGCTGCGTCGCCAACGGCGCATTGGAAAGGGCCAAGGCCACCGAATTCACGGAACCCACATGCCGCAGGAGCTGCGCCTGCTGGCCGCCGCCGCCGCCGTGGGGCGGTTGCGGGTCCTGCTGCACATTCAGCACCGCCCTGAGGGGTCCCGTCGGGCTGGCGGCGCCGCCAGGGTGCGGGTGCGGGTGCTGCTGCTGGTGGTAGTGGTGGTGATGGTGATTATGGTGCTGGTGCTGCTGCAACGCACTGACCTGGTTGACCAGCGCAGCAGGCAAACTGGTGGGAAGCAAGGACAGGGGGGCGCCCGCGCTGGGGCCGCTCGCCGTGGCGACCGTGCGCACCCCTGTCACCGGGTTATAGGTGGCGACCGTGCCGAGCTTAGGAATGCGCACAGCCGGGCGCACGACGGCTGTAACCGCCGCCGCCGTTGGCGGCGTCGGCGTCGGCGCGTACACAGGCTGAAGCGTCACGGGGCCGTTGTTGACAGAGGAGCAAACGATGGAGGAAGAGCCGCCGACGGCACCTCCTCCTCCTCCCGCGGGGCCGCCAACAGGCCGTATAGTGACGGCCTGCAGGGCCGCTGGCGCTGATGACTGGCGTTGTTGCAGCTTACCCTGTTGTTGTTGCTGTTGATAATGATGATTATGATGATGCTGTTGGATCATGTGCTGTTGTTGGATGACTATTTGCTGCCCCGACTGCGCCACAAGGACTTGCGGCGCCGACGATTGCTGGGTCAGTACCGCAGGGGGGCCTTGTTGTAGCAGCGTCACCTTGGCCGGCTGCCCGTGGTGATGTGCCACCTGTTGCTGCTGTTGCTGCTGTTGCTGGTGCTCTGACTGCGCTGAGACTGGGAATCGCGTCATGAGGGCCTCCATTCCGGACTGGGGCAACTGGACCTGCATTGCCTGCTGCAATTGTTGCTGCTGCTGCTGCGGAGGCTGCTGCATAACCAGCTGCTGCTGCTGGGCTTGCGGCTGCGGTTGCTGCTGAATCTGCTGCGAAGGAGGCCCTGCGATGTTCTGAGGCCGAATAGTTATGACCCCGAGCTGCGGCTGTATCTGGGCCTGTGGGTGCGAGTGCAGCTGCGGGTTGTTGCCAGCGGGTACTGCCACCGCTGTCTGAACGAGGGTGGTGTTTGGGAAGGGCTGTCCCGCCTTCACCACGCGAGTGGTGCCGCTGGGGAGCACCTTGAATACTTGGTGGTGGTGCGGGGTGGTACTGGCAGTACTGGTGGTGGCGGTGGAGTTGCCCAGGGCCGAGTGTAGCTGCAACACGTGCTGCTGTTGCCCCGGTTGGTGTTGCTGCTGCTGCTGGTGATGCTGCTGCTGGTGATGCTGCTGCTGCTGCTGCGGCAGGCCGTTCTGTGGGTAGCCGTGAACTTGCACGACGATCGAAGCCTGCGGCTGCGCACCACCGAGTGCCGGCTGGGCCCCAAGGCCGGGGGGGTTCTGAGCCGCTGATGCCTGGGCTGCTAGGGCCTGGGAGCCAGCGGGAGCCATGTGGTGTCCAGGATCGGCATCCATGAAGGCAATCTGGCGGCCAGCTTGCGCTGCGGAGTGCTGCGGAGCCCCCTTCGAGCTCGAGCCTCCACGGGAGCCTTTGCCGCTCCTCCCCGATGAGCTTGACGAAGTTTGCCGAATCCAGTTTCCAGCGTTGGAGGATACATAGCTGCTGCCTGCAAGAGGACGCGCATATCGTTGGCACAACACTGTCATCCTGTCTACAAGAGAGGTCGTTCACGCAGCGCTTCCACTGATAAAGAAAGTGGGGTGTCTTGGAGCGCAGGTAGCAAAAAAAGCTCGCAGCAGATGGCGAAATGGCAGGCTGCCACATCCGTAGCACTTACCTGAGAGCAGCTGCATGGCCTGGAGATCACTGCTTGTATACATTCGTGCTTCCTTCGTTCGAAGGACGTCTGTCAAGTTTCAGGCGAGCCCTGGCGCACAAAAAAGCAGCAGCAGACGAGCAAAATGCTAGAGTTTCGGCAGACCGATGCGAACATGTTGTCATATCAACTTCTTCAAACGTTGGTAAATCATCCCGACCAGAGGGAAGCTCACAAACATCATGCTAAAGACACGCGCCAGTTCGGAAGCGTCGAGCACTTATAACAAGCCTCCGCTCAGCCCCACCTTTTCAGACGCCAATGGAAAAGACAGCGCAAGTCGTCATGCCATATTAACCATTATTTCGGCTTGGCCGCACCCGCAATTTGTATTCGAGTCTTTACGTGAAGATGGCTATAAAACCACACTTTCTACCAGCGTAGCTATTCATTACCAGAGCATCCATAGCTAAGTCTCCCCGCGATATGTAGAAAGAGGACTGTCACAAAATTCCCACTCCACTTCGCACCTATGGACGAGCAAGCCTAACCTGCTCGGACACCCCAGTTTAAACAATGTCATACGTCCTTTCGTGCTTTTTATTAATTTGAACCCCACATGACGGAGCGGACGATTAGAAATGGTGCTCATAACATGGAACCACTTTTTTGGATTTGCCTTTGGAAGAGTGAGCATTTGCAAGGACGGACCCAGAAGCGGCTGGCCATGCTACTGTGAAATGCGCAATCGGGAGCATGTACCATACCGGAAAGCACACATGAAAGTAGCGAGACTGGCGCATGGATTAGCCAGGGTTGACAAAGCTAAATCCTGGAAAGCTGGCTGCTTATTTAGATGAGGAGTACTACCCTTGCCCCTGCATTTAGCTTAGGCATGCGACAAGGCTAAAACAGATTGCTTTGCACGAGGCACTAAAGCGTGGCAGTTGATGTAGGCTGAACTTCGTTAATGCCATTGTGCCCGTTTATCAACTTACAGAAAAAATTATTTCTCTCTGCTCTATTCCCTCAGCCGAGCAATCCTGACATGTGGCATCCCCTGCGTTACGACGGTTATTCCGCTGCATGATTCTCGCCTATGATCTTCAAAAGTAATAGTGGGAGATAAGGAATACTCACGTATCATAAATCAAACCTCTAACGTTCCTGCGAGGCCAAGAGCCTGATTTAAGCAATCATCGGCCATCGGACGAGCAACTTGGCTTCGTAATTCCAGGCCGCCCTAACCGGAACCGAACCTATCACCTCTTCGCGATAGGCGGCTCCGGATCACATTATGATGGGGAGTTCAGAAATTTTCTTTACCAACGACAGAGATCTACCCTGTCCCACCCGTAGAAATGCCAAGCTGCTCTACGTCCTAAATCCGTTTCCTAGTGCCAAGAGCGCAACATGTCAGACACTGTGCAGTGTAGATATGCGAGATATTCCGGGTTCCTTTGCACTAGTTCCAAAGATTGTAAACCACGTGCGTCCAACCGTAAAGTTGTAAACCCAGATCTCTGTTCATCCGCTGCCAGTCAGTCCAGACTCGCTTTTCTTCTTATTCTTTTCGCGTCGATCTTCGCGCTGATTTCCTGTGGTGGATTCATACAAAATAAACAAAATACCGTTAAAATGAGATGCTTCGGTGCACGTGTAAGCATGCAGCATACCGCATTCGCCCTCCAAGCTTTACACTCTCTCCCGCGCGACCCAACAGCCTCGCCCCACACCACCACCACCGCCTGCGCCTCTCTCTTCCTCATCTCAACCTTCGGAAGCTGTAGATTGGCCCCCCTTCAATAAAAGCAAACCCGCGTGCCAAGGAAAATTCAGGATGTCCACTTCGACAAACATCCATACACACACACACATATACCCACGGCAGTCCATCTCCCGTCTCCCCCCCCACCCAACAACAACGCATCACCCGTACCCCCCGGGTGCCTTTCCAACTCCGTCTTCCCCTCCACACCCCCTCCTTCCCGCCCATCCAAACCCCTTCTCCCCCTTTCCCCCCTTCTTTCCCCCCTCCTTTCCCCCCTCCTTTTCCCCCTTCTTTCCCCCCCTTCCCCCCTCAATCCGCCAAGTCCCGGAAATCCAGCTCCGTCTCTATCACCGCCGCCGTGTGGTTCCTACCCGCCGCCAAACCCATCACTCG